AATATACGCAGATTAGACTTCAGCTTTAATGAATCCACACCGATTTTATTTTCATTTTCACAGAACTATATGTCTTTACCACACACAATATTTCTTTCAAGTTTCACCCTTGTCAAATGCTTGTCTAAATCACATACCAATTAAACTCCAGCTTCTTGCATTTACCAAGCAAAACATTGCAATCTATCTGTCTGTTCCAGCTTGTAAAATGAATTTGTTTCTTAAATTGTGTAACAGATTCTACTTCCCTGCAGTTTCTTATTCTGCAGTTATACCCCAGGAGCCATCTCATTTGTACTCAACAACCGAGCAGTGACAAAAGTACCACAGTCAGCTGCTTTTTTGTGCCATGGTACCCAATCAACTTTATATAGGAACTCTTGTCTTCTGTACAGCTGGATGCCAGAATAACCCTTTATAGATTGAGGAAGTCTAACAGATCATGTGGCCTTTCCTCAAAGACTAGAGCAATTTACTATTAGGTTTAGGTTGATCTTTTTTTTTTTTTACTTTTCGTCAGTATACAGAGAACAATACATTTGTTCATTTTTAACCTGATATTGATTAGGTGTATTTTATGCCTTCATGACTAGAATCATTCTAGTCAGGAGGCATCACCATCTGGGAGGCAATGTGTTTGGCTTTCAGCCACCTTACGATAAGCCTGGCATACCAATAAAATAGTAATGACAAGGACGGAGTTCATTTGAATGTATGCACTTGTGAAACGTTTTTTACTTAAGGTCATAGCCTTGTTCATTTACATTTCTGACATGGAAATTGGAAATGTGAAATACACGTTTACTGTCTATCAGTGCATTAATGGAAAATATACAGTTCAGGCATATAATTATCAAAGTTTGTTGTGTTAACTGTTTTGCCATTAAGAAGACATGGGCATTTGGTGCTTATTTTCAAGTGGCAATTTATTCACCTTTCTTCTTAAATTATAACATTGTAACTTCACATTGGGGTGTCTCCAAGTGAGACTTGTTAGATGAGATGCCGAGTCCAAATTGATAACGAAAGGTGCTTTAATTACACTGCAGTGGAGATAATATAGTATACAAAAGTTCACCTCATGTGAGATGAACTAAGGTAATACAAAATATATATCTGTCTCTTAAGCTTTAGACTATTACATATATAGACATAAATTCTAGGTGTGATCGTTCAGAAGTTCAGGCGTGGTCATACGGTTTTAATCCAATCAAATCTTCATATATTTAACAGCAAACTCAGAGTTAAGTGCAGGTTAATCCAACCCAGCAAAACACTTTTTCTCCTGCGCTGGGAATGGACTCGGTGAAACCAGTAAGGATGTTCTGAAACATGCACTGCTTGCTGCCCTCAACAAACCAGGGTGGTCCAACTTCACTAAATGCAAATAAAAAAACAAAAGAGGGTACACCGACCTAGTGCATTCCTGGCTCTGAGGAAGAGGTTGTGTCCTCGAAACGCGTTAGCCAGTTGGTCATCCAGGGTTCCATCGTATGGACTCAGATGCTGCTTGGATCTATTATCTTATTCAGTGTGATATGCCTGTGTTGTTATGTCCATTGTGAGTATAATACTTACTTTGTTCTTTCAATAAATATGTGCCCTCTTAAGTGCAGGTTACTAGCACATGGTCAGTCCAAAATAGACAGTTGCTGGTTCAAACTGGTTTAACCATAAGATGCTTTTCTTATACTTGAAAGAGGTAGTTAACATATTTCCAGCCGGCTGGGTTTGCGTCTCAGACATACTTCAAATCACATTTCCTGAGAAGAAAAAAAAAGAACTCCAATAAAAACTCTTAGTATATATGTACTTGTATATGTGTATATTAGAACATTAATTATCAGACTCCTATATTTCTACTCAACATCCTACCATCTCTAATCTTAATATTAGATCATATTTGTGGATATATTCTTTAGTAAAGCAGGTTATCAGCATAATGTTGGACACCCCACCAGTTGCCCTCAGGCATGATTTTTAAAAACTCTACCCCTTGGGCAGTTTGTGATGTTTTCATCTGATCTATAGTAGTCATTGACCATTGCAGAGCCTTCAAGCAGCTTTAGGACTGAGGATAGAATAAGAGAGGACTGTGCCTGTAACTGTTTTCTTTCATTGTTATCGGAGCAGTGACAGAGGGATGGGGAAGGGGGGTCAGTGGAACCACACTCCAACAGCGTCATTGAAACACAGCTTGGTAGGGTATTAAAGAGCATCCATTTTGGGTCACAGTAAAAATAAACAAGCTAGACGTATTTCCATGTGTGTATACTACAGTAAGTTTGTGTTTAGGTATTTTACAGTGCTTGGATGTAGATAAAAATGTGCTAGCAGGAAAAAACTGTACCATAGAATCAAGAAAGTATAGTTATTAGTACAGTTAAAAATCTGCTCGAATATGACTCGATCATATTGGTCTTGATATCCTTAGGGTGTTTAAGAAGTGTTTGTCAAACCTTTGCCTTGCAGTATTCATGTGTCACTCATGTGTTCATTTTGATTTATATGGAAGAGTATAAAGCACCAAGTGAACATAAAGTGGAGCTAAACCCTCCTATAATTTTCAGCTAAGGAAACTGCCATCTTAGTTTCTGTTTGATCTGCAACTGCCATAATGCTGCACATGTGATCAGTTATGACACCAGATATTTAATGGTTTGATGATTTGGTTGAAAGCACAAGGAACTGTGACAGTTACATTCCTGGCATGATGGAACAGGTTTTTTTTTTAAAACTTGGTTTAGTTCCACTTTAAAGTGACGGAGCTGATCTGAACTACCTGTGTACACTAGCCCCTAGACCAGGGGTGTAAAACTGGTGGTCCTCCAGCTATTGCCAAACTAGAAGTCCCATCATGCATCTGCCTTTGGGAGTAATACTTGTAACTCAGTCTTGCAATGCCTCATGGGTCTTCTAGTTTGGCAACAGCTGGAGGGCCATCAGTTTGACACCTGTGTCTTAGACTGACATACAGAGCCATTATTAGTAGGAATGTTTTTTGTCAGTAATTTAATATACTTTTTTTAAATACTGTTCCATGTTACTTTTAATAGGTCTCCTTCCCTTTGGAACTTGTATAAAAAAATTTATGAGACATACAGTACAACAATACAGCATATGCCTTGTTATACGCACTCCAGCCTTTGTCACCAACACAGTTACATGATTGTTTTCAAACCAATTAAAATGAAAATGCAACATATGAGGCAGAATGGTGAGACAAACACCATCAAAAACCCACCTGTCAGATGAGAGATGTCACTTCTACTTCCTGAAAGTACACCTGCCTTCCTCCTTCATTTCTATTGCTGGCTTTGCCTAGAAGATAGCCAGCCAAAGTAAGAATTTAACTAAAAGTAAGCACAATTTGTAGCAGGGATGACAAAACGGTGCTTTTTCTGCACTGAAATTCCAAGTAGGGTTGTCAGCCCTCCTGGATACTGAAGAATTCTACTTTTCCACAGCTTCTCTCTGTTCTCCTCTACATGCATGCAGTCATTTCTTTTACAGCAATATAATGGTGCTGTGACTCCCAAGAGCCTGTCCACTCAATGAGTGTGGGGAAAGAGCTCTTGGGTTATGCAGCTCTTGGAACGTATCTATATCCATAGAAAATGAGCTCCCAACAGCTGCCCCTGAAAAAAATTTACAAGACTGAAATCACAGGGAATAATAACCGCTTCTAGCTTAAGGAACAAGGCATAAGACAAAAGTGTTCCTGAAACATGCCCAAGCAGGGGAAAGAGAGGTTTGGGGGTAAATGCAGGGGTGTATGTACCACAAGGCAAACAAGGCACTTGCCTAGGGCTGCATTTATCAGGGGGGCAGCACCTTCCCTCAGAGGAAGGGATGAGAGAAGGGACAAGTGTGCCATGGGAACCAGGTGGAATCCGAGAGAGGCTGTGGGATGCTTGATGGTGTATTTAGAACCTGGCTCTTGTTCCTGGGGATGTCCGGAGCTGTGAAGATGAGTGGGGGGGGGGGGGGTAGTCAAAGGCTCTCGCGGGTGAGGGTGCATTTATCAGGGGGGCAGCACCTTCCCCCAGAAGAAGGGATGAGAGAAGGGACAAGTGCGCTATGGGAACCAGGTGGAATCCGAAAGAGGCTGTGGGATGCTTGATGGTGTATTTAGAGCCTGGCTCTTGTTCCTGGGAATGTCCGGAGCTGTGAAGATGAGTGGGGGGGGGTAGTCAAACGCTCTTGCGGGTGAGGGTCAGGGGTGTTGTTGGTCAATGTCAGGCTCTCTCCACAGGAGGGGGTGGTGTTGGTCGGTGTCCGTGGGGGGGCAGATGATTTTTGTGTGCCTAGGGCAGCACAAAACCTAAATACATCACTGGGTAAATGCACTAGTAAACTCCTATAGGTTTCCAATATCTGTTCACATTGTTAAGGAACAAACATTTGCCAAGACCTCATGTTTAAAATCATTGTGCAATGACAATAAAAGGCCATAAATTGCTGTTCAGGAACAAAGAGCAAACAGAAGCTCCAAGAAGTTACTGTAGAGGTACAAGTAATTGTAACAAAATTATTATGCTGATCAGCCTAAAGCATGGAAGTAATTGAGTGAAAAACAGCCACGTATTATGTAAAATGATTGCTGCCTTTAAGCCACAATAAACAAAGATGTTCTTGCAGTGATGATGTTAAACAGTAGAACAAATGAACGTGGCCTGCTGATTTTGCACTGTCTGGGTCATTACGGAAATAGGCTTCTCCTCCTCTGTCCCTAATATGCAAATCATTTAATTACTTGAGGTGTCTGAATTGCGTAGTGCTAAGACAGTGGCACAAAAATATACTTTTTTGTCAGGCTCATCACAGCTGACTCATGTTATATAACAGTGATGGCGAACCTTTTTGAGCCCGAGTGCCCAAACTGCAACCCAAAACCAACTTATTTCTTTCAAAGTGCCAACACTGCAATGAAACCTGAATATCGAGCTTTTGGTTTAGAAAAAACAACTCGTACATTAGTGCAAACTAATTAACAGTACAGGGATGACCAGAGACTGCGGACAGTACAGGGATGACCAGAGACTGCGGACACAGTACAGGGATGACCAGAGACTGCGGACACAGTACAGGGATGACCAGAGACTGCGGACACAGTACAGGGATGACCAGAGACTGCGGACACAGTACAGGGATGACCAGAGACTGCGGACACGGTACAGGAGATGACCAGAGACTGCGGACACGTACAGGAGATGACCAGAGACTGCGGACACGGTACAGGAGATGACCAGAGACTGCAGACACAGTACAGGAGATGACCAGAGACTGCGGACACGGTACAGGAGATGACCAGAGACTGCGGACACAGGTACAGGAGATGACCAGAGACTGCGGACACAGTACAGGGATGACCAGAGACTGCAGACACAGTACAGGGATGACCAGAGACTGCAGACACAGTACAGGGATGACCAGAGACTGCGGACACAGTACAGGGATGACCAGAGACTGCGGACACAGTACAGGGGATGACCAGAGACTGCGGACACAGTACAGGGATGACCAGAGACTGCGGACACAGTACAGGAGATGACCAGAGACTGCGGACACAGTACAGGAGATGACCAGAGACTGCAGACACAGTACAGGAGATGACCAGAGACTGCAGACACAGTACAGGAGATGACCAGAGACTGCAGACACAGTACAGGAGATGACCAGAGACTGCGGAAAGCACAGGGATGACCAGAGACTGCGGACAGTACAGATGACTGCTGACCTTTGGGGAGGGAGGGGGAGCGGGTACCTGAATTTGACAGGTACCCGCTCTTACTTCCGCAGAGTTTTTTTTTTTATCCTACCTGTTCCTTTATCCAGCCGCGCGCTGTCTTCCCGGCTTCTGTAGTGTGGGCACTCGTCGGACAGCCGGATGCCCAGTGCGCATGCGCGAGAAGCGCTGCGCTTTGTGATTGGTCCGGCGGCTTCTGGGATCTGTCATGTGTCCCAGGTACCGCCTTACCATTCACAAAGAGCACTGCTTCTTGCGCATGCGCACTTGGGACCCGGCTGTCACGCACACTACAGAAGCCGGGAAGACAGCGCACCGCTGGATAGAGGGACAGGTAAGGTCCCGCTGCAGAGCTGAGCGGCCGGCCCGGTATTCTGACACGGCGGCGGTGGAAATACCGGACCGGCCGCTCTATATTCGCTCCATAAGACGCACTGACATTTTCCCCCCTTTTTTGGGGGAAAAAAAGTGCGTCTTATGGAGCGAAAAATACGGTATTCTCCTGGCGTGCCCACAGATAAGGCTCGGCGTGCCGGCTGTGGCACGCGTGCCACGGGTTCGCCATCACTGTTATATAACATCACAGCTCTGATCATTCACAAGGTCTTTAGGTTGCAATGTCATGCTCAATTGAGAAGTCTATTACAAGTCTCATCAAGTAAAACATTGTTCATGGCTGGTGTTTATTTTAGGATGGGGCTATCAAAGCAGCTAGGACTTGACCAAGTCTAGATTAGGCTGATTGAATGAGCTTTTTTGAACAGGAGTGTATTTCAAGCAGAAGGACAAATTGGAAATCATTTTAACAGTTTGAAACTAGGTTCACAATTTAACCATTTTTTGGTGTTAGGACTCAAGTCCAGTCTAAAAATAAAAACCCAAATGTCTCTACATAGGTACATGTCTTCAGCATTTCTTAGCAAAAATAATCCACACAGGTCTGTTAAGATGATCTGTAAATTTGTACCTGTATACTAGGTACATAAGGCCCTGTTCACATCTGGGGTTTTGTAAGCATGGCAGAATCCCAACTGCAATAATGACAAAAAGCACCATGCATGTTCGAATGCCATTCATTTTCAAAGGCACCTAAATGCAGTGTGTTTTTTGCCACGATTGTCACGCGATAAATCATGTAGCAATCTTTGCAAAGTGAAATTTCACAAAGCTTGTCACCCAAAAGAAGCTTCTGCTCCTTTTTGGAGACAAGCTTTGCATGTTGCAGCTTGCCGCAATTTCCATGCGATTTATTGCATAGCAAACGTGGAAGAAAATGCACTGCATTTAGGTTGCATTGAGAATCAATGGCACCCAAACATGTGTGGTGCATTTTGGCATTTGGGATCACGTGAAGAATCTCAGATATGAATGGGGCCTAAGTAAGGATTGAAAACATTAGTCTTTGAAAATATCTGGATGCTAAAGCTAATCCATAAGGTATACACATGAAATGGAACAGGCCCATTGTAATATATACAGTGAAGTCCCTACTTTCCTTTCAGCAAAACATCTGCACTTTAAAGATCTAGGGTTGAAAAAAAATGAGGTCCTCTCTGAGTTCTGGAAATACTTCCTCAGTATTAGGCAAGGGATGACTATCAATAACCACAGTTTTTTTTGATTCACCAAGGTCAACACACAATTTAATAATACCACCTGTTTCTTCACTGTCACTGCAATAGGAGATACTCATTCAAATGTGTCATTTTTTCAGTCACATCTTGGTAGTTTCTTAGGTTTTAGAAAACACTTTACATACTATATAGAGGGGTAAGCATCTCAATTTCTGACACAATGGTTTCTCATCTGACCACATCTCTTCTTCTTTGCACAGCCCAGTGAGCTGTCATTGAGTGGTAGAACTTTGGAAACTAGCATCATAGGGACTAATAGAGCTTTGGTGATAATACCAATAATTGATAAAAATACAACAAAAATATATCTGCCAAGTATAGCAATGTCTTTCTTTACAATGTAGAATTCAGCTTGCACATTAGTTGATAGAAATGTTACAGTCACTAACAGGAAGCCAAGCATAGCAATAGAGTCTCTATGATAACTAACCAGTTTCAGAGTAGGTGCAGTAAGTGGATCTTTTGCAATGCACTTCTATAGATTTGCACAGGCAATTTAGAGACAGCAGATATTGGGGCAGATTTACTAAAACTGAAGCACTCAGAATATGGTGTAACTATACATGGTATCCAATCAGCTTCTAAAATGAGCTTGTTCAATTAAGCTTTGGCAATAAACCCTGGAAGCTGATTGGTTACTATGCAGAGCTGCACCCGATTTTGCACTTTCAAGGTTTTAGTAAATAAACCCCACTGTGTTTTCAGCAGAAGCAGTGGTAATAGGTAACAGTTCATAAAATTTTATCTCGAATAGAAGCAGCATTAGACATGTGCATGCCAGAAATTTTTGTTTTGTTTCATTTCGGATGCATTTTTTAATTGAAGAATTTTGTTTCATCATATTCATTATGTTGATCCAATTCATTTTTAGAATTTGTTTTATATCTTTTGGCATTCATTTTGTATATTCGTTGGTCCAGGTGGCTTTGAAAAATGTTGCAGTTTTTTACGGAAGATTGCTATATGTATACGATATATTATCACAGCGCACTGATATGAATCAGAAGGATTTGTTATTTACGGACACTCGTCCACCCCACACAAGAGAAATGGCAAGAGCTGATTGGACAATATTTACTAGCATCATGTATTATCATGTATGTGGCCACTGTATTAATGAAAGGAACAAAATTCCAATCCATTTGTTATCCAAATCCAAACTATCAAACAAATTCAAAAATTGATTGTTTCCCCAAGGCGTGAACTGCTGTCGCATCATGTGACATCATCCGAATGAAACGAATGCATTCGTTAATTTAGTTATAATTTTTTTCAGATTCATTGACATTTGTTACAATGTCCAATTTAGAGATTTGTATACTGTAAATCAGAATCTCAGAAAATGACATTTTTGTCCAAAAAACAAATCGAAACAAAATGAAATGCACATGTTTAAGCATCATATTAATCTACACTTATGTTTAAGATAGAAACCTTCGGGGCTGTATCTTCATGACCCTGTCTAGCAGTAGAGGTACAGAAGATTTCTTCAACGTGTCCCATTTTGTTGCATCTACGGCACCATGCATCTTTTGCAGGGCATGCAGCATCATTTGAAATGAATGTTGAACCATACCTACAGCCGCTTGAGGCACTTGTTCTGCATATGTATTAAGCTGCTCTGCAGTTTAGATGAATCTCTTATTGCACCTTTATATTGGGCCTGCATAGAGTATATGCGTTATGAGAGGCAGATCATAAATTCATAGTCTGTATGGTGCCAGCAGTCCCCTGACTGAGGGTTTTTGCCTTAGCCACAGTAGTTTCACTTTGGCTCGAAATTATAACAGACTTTGCAAGAGATAAATCATGTTCCAAGAGCAGTCTTTGTGTAGTGCAGGATGGGTTTGATTTTTCTGCTAACTGGTCTCTTGTCATTTCATCTGTCAAAGCATCAAACACACAGGTAGCAACCAACACTCTCAAAGCTGTTATAAACTGTACTGTGAAATCGCCATTATGCTGTCCATGTTCTTGGAATTTATATTGTTCAGCGACCACAAATTCTCTGTGCTCAAACAAGTTCTTTAATGCAGTGAGAGTTGTGTCATCTTCTGCTGGTAGAGTATAGAGAATACATTGTCCTTCCGCTTCCAGGTAGTGACTAAGTAAAGCACGCTTTCTAGCAGTAGTTAAGTCCTTCTGATTAGCGGCAAGGATGTAACTCTCAAACATGTTAATGCGAGCAGAAAAATGCATTTTAGGCTCATCAAGGTTGCTGTAGAGATAGAAAAGCCATTCTTTTACCCAGTCTTGTTGCATCCTGTAGTCTGGGAGACAGAATAGTTATTAAGTACTCTTAGGCATCCATATATATCATAACAGGAATAGGAACTGGAACTAACTTTTCAGTATAGAAAGTATTGCACATGTAACACCTGTAAATAGCAGCATCTACTGGTTGGAGGTGTGAACACAGCAGTCTCCCCCTACTGGGAAAGTTTCACCTTATTTCCTATCTATATGAGAGGTGTGCTCTCCCAACTTTTTAAAGTGAAGAGAAATCCCAGTGGAGACTGAAATAAAAGTTGTTTTTGTTTTATAAAAAATAGGGATGGGTCAAAACCTCTATCGGGTTATGTTTTGCTGTCTGTATTTCCACAATTCAGGGATCTGAAGCTTCGCTTGTCAAGGCATGTCCCAATGCATCAGGTGTGAATGGGCTCTTAAAGAATGTAATGCATATTTTGGTTGGATCTCTGTTCACAAATATTTCATTCATACAGAAAAATCTAGTGCAAGTATCAACAACCAATTAATGTCTATTAGATGTATGTAATGCATATAATGCATTCAGAGTTCTTTTAACATATCTAGGCACAGCACACTCATTGAAATAGAGAACTGTTCAGAACTGATATTTATATTTTACATGGTTGCTAGTAAGCTTCTATAATTCGGGTATTCTCCAATTATCACTAACATTGCACATTCAAATGATGGTGTTAGCACTCCTTATTAATTATATATATTTAGGTGTATTTCTACTTTTGCAGCTATCACCTACTTTACATTTGTTACATGTTTATATTAACATAATATAACTTCAAATAAATATTTAAAACTTGCCATGCTGGTAGTCTTTTTGAGTGCTTTTTACTTGCCTGAAAATCCTTATAAGCTCTCCTTACTTCGTGATATGTTTGTCTAAGTTCTTCATTATCAGCTGTAAACTAGATTTGAACACTGTCAATGGGAACACATAATAAACATATAAATTTGACTGC